GTACCCCACTGGTGAGGAACAGTGCGAGTTGGTGAGATGTCGTCGCTACGGTCGCTTTGATGGCCATTTGTGGTCTCGTAATTCACCCAGCCTTCACTAAACGTGGGAAATGATGGCTGGCCTTCGCCAGGGAGGGTCAAGCCGTTTGTCTCCATCGGTGGGTTGCCATTCATGGAGCCATTAACAATGGGAGGCCCCATGTTTTGCACTGCTTTCTGTCTCTCCATCTCTTGGAGAACCAGTTGCTGACGTGCTTGGAGTTGCTGGATCTGATGTATGGCCTGGTCATTTGCGTAGAGCCCAAGTGAAGCTTGAGATGGCATATCCGGTGGTACAGTTTCGACCGTGTCGCTCCTGTGACGAGGCTGGCTTGGAAATGAGCCATTGACAATGACTGGACCGTTGTCGACAGGTGGACGGACGGAGTCGATACGTGATTTCCGCAGCTCAGGGGTGGCCACCTCATTCGGCTGACTCACGCCAGTAGAGTAGCTTCGCATATGTCCGAGCGGAGAAGGAGACCGTGTCACTCGACGTAACGCAGTGTTCAGGAGCGGCTGCGTGATCTCTGGCGATACGCGTCGGCGACGCTGAGCCAGTTCGCTAAATGACGGAATCAATGGGACAGAGTACTCTTGTCGCGGGCGTACTTGTGGCTCAACATAATAGCCAACATATTCCTTAGGCGAACTGGTATCGGAAGATGGAATCGACTCCGGCTGTGATAGATTTGGTTTTGTGGGAATATCCGACGTCATCTGCGGCCTCAAGAGATCCTGCGAAGATCGTGCGATAGGATAGCCAGCAAAGCTTCCAGAATCAACGAGTTGGGGTACGGGTGGATATCCCACGATGATAGGCTGTTGTCCCGCACTGCGAGGAGGCTGCGAATGCGAACGAAGGGAACTTGTTTCGCTCGCATTCGAAGCGCGATGCACTCCTCGGTGTACACCAGGTATGCTGTTGCTCAAAGATGGCGAAGAAGGATTGGTTCGAGACCCATCTTGGGAGCCAGTGGGATCCGATTGGGGAGCAGTAAAAAAGCCAGGATAATGGTATAGGAAGCCCTGAGGAAGAGCGCTTGGCGGTATCCCACGCTCAGCCAAACGAGGACTTTGTCGACCATTCACATAGGGCGACTTCTGCGGCGATCCGTTTGTGCTGTTAGACGCTCTGCCCTGCGCTTGTGCTTGGGCAACGGCGTGAGCGTGCATCTGCGCGGCTCGCACTTGATGTGCTTGCTGAGCGTGTTGCTGAGCAGCAAGCTGAGCACGTAGAGAGTTCGATTGCATTTCCAACATCTGGTACTGTTGATACAGCTGGTCATGTAGCTGGTCATGAATTCCTCGGGGAAAGTTGAAGTATTCTGGACCAGCACTCGCTGGAATAGGTGGACTATGCAGAAACGGTGGTCGGCCCTGACCGTAGTTGGAGCTGCCGGAAGATCGTCTACTGCCTCCATGCTGGCCTTTTAGGTTGAAGCCGCCTCTACCTCCTCTCGAATTCGGGCCACCTCGTCCGTTCCGGTTCGGAACGCTGGAGGTAATGATGGCTTTCTGGGATTGCGGCTTCTTGAAGATCGCGTTAGACTTCTCTTCTGGCGGATACTCAAATTGCTCGCAAGCTTTGTCAAGCTGCTGGCCATCTGCAAGGAGGTCGAAAGCGCGGCGGAGCTCCAGGTGTATGCCCCGCCATGCATAATCGTCCGCGGAATTTCCAAGGTTTCGATCGGTATTGAAAGGCTCCTCTACACAGAGGCGATTGACACCTTCCTTCTGGCCACCGCCAGGATGCCACCCCTTCTCCTCTCTCGGTATCCGTTTGCCTTGACGTACTGATATCGTTTCTTTCTCATAGTCGATTTCGTGACCATAAAGACGGAAGAAATGGAATAGCAACTGGCCCAAGCTTTCCTTATTGTCATCTCCGTAGCCTCTCAATCTGTCGACGTCGTCGGCGAAACTCGATAATGAAGGCTGGCCGGTTGTCTCGTCTAACGCTCGATCGGGAAGGTCATGCAGGGTAGGGAGGACCGGTGGATCCCGGGTCTGGAGGAAATTGAGGATCAAGCATATCCATGTATACGAGCTAATTGTGCCACCAATGCCTGAGCGATGTTAGATTAGGAGGAGACGGGTATGCGGCAGACTGACCAGCATCGTTGAGGATCCGGCGCTTTGTCCAGTGCTTGATTATCATAGCGAGCGGTCGAACACGATCGTCGAGCTGGATGTATGTCTTGATCATGCGCGTGTTCTCGATTGCGGCGACGTTGTTCACATTGATGTCGCAGGAGATTTGCAGCTCAGGGTCCCAAACTTTTACAATCCGCACTTTGGCTGCTGGTATGCATACCACACGTTCCATGCCGTCTAGGGAGATTAGTCTAAGTCAAGCTGAATCATGGTAGCAACGTACGTTTGTCCAAGGCCTCAGCCAGGGGGTGCATTTCTTCGAGCCTTTTCATGGGCGTTTGAATGCAAATGTCGACTGTCCATGTTAGTGCGGGCCTTTTGATGCGGGTTGGAACATACCATCGCTTTCGGAAGTCCACAACATGTTGCCAGAGGAGCCAAAGACGTGGACCATGATCTTGGTGCCTGGGAACTCGGTTTCGAGTATGCCCTGCATCTTCTTTATGAAGCGTTCTCGGATGTGGGTGTCTTCCTGTTTCGGCTCTAACCGGTCGTATAGCTCTCGCATGTCTCCGCTCAACTTGTCATCCTCGTGGGGATCCAGACTCTTCTTGGGCTCCTCTTGGGCTCTTTCGAGTATCTCGTCTGATTGGTAGGGCATGCGTCTCCGGCCCAGCATACCGACGTTGGTCTCGAATCTGCACTTGAATGGGCGCGCGGGTCTCAGCGTGGGCATGGTGCCGTTTGCTTCGGACGAGACGGAGCGTGGCGAATGGCTGCCCAGTCCGCCGTTTGGCGACGGGGAGCGTGAGCGCGTTGTGTATTTGCGGGCGACCTGCAGGGGCGTCGAGGGGACGGAGTTGGAGTGCTGCGAGACGATGGACGGGCGCTGGGCGCGCGTCTGGGCGCCCGCCTCTTCCCGTTTGCTCGACATATTTGGCAGACGGTTTGATGTCATCGTGGGCGCGCTGGTGGGCACGCTACGCTGTGTAGCCTTATTCCCATCTGTGGTATTGTTGTGCGCCTGGGCCGTCTTGACGGGAGGCTTCTTGGAGAGGGTGCGGCCTGAGTCCCGCTGGGGCGGCGGGCTCAGCGAGTGGGGAGACACAATTACGGCGGGGAAGGGCGTGTGCGAGGCGGATGGATGCACTTCGTCGATACGCGCGAGCTGCAGGAAGGGGTGCAGCAGCAGCTGGGGCGGCACGTGGGCGTAGTGGATGTGCGGGTGCAGTGGGTGTCGAGGGAGCGGCAGGGGGGAGTAGGCGGGGGCAGCGAGGGCGGGCGAGGAGGGTTTGGTCCGGCGAGGGTCGGAATGAATGAGCTGGGGATGTTGGAGGTAGAGATATTGTGGGTTGTTGTGGCGGCGGTCGCTCATAAACTTTAGTGGGCGCTCACTGGCTATGGCAATGGCGGTGCTCGCGGAGGGGCGGCGGCGGCTCGGGGGCTAGGGCCGTGGGCGGGAGCAGAGAGAGATGCTTCCAGAGCAGGTGAAGGCAGAGGGCTGGAGCAAAGGAGCCCGCGGTGAGGGCGTACTCGGAATTCGGCGTCGTGAGAGGGTGGTGCGTGAACCCCTGCCGTGAGAGCCTGGTCCGCACTCGTCGCTGCGAAGGTGCTAGGGATCCGGCGTCGACTGTGGTTCCGCCGGTCAGCGCTAAACAATGGCGGGATGCAGACGCAGACGGGAATCGAGGCACTGCAGACGGCGGGCGGAGCGGTGCAGAGGACGAGGTCGACAGTCTGTGAGGTTGTGTGCAGTGCAGCGGCATGCATGGGCATAGGCATAGGCATGGGCATGGGCATGGGCATGGGCATTTGGGCCACACCTAGGTCCTAACGAGGGATGAACGCACAGGGCTGCCTCTAATGCGCTTTGGGACGTGTGACGGCGACAGGGGCGCCTTCTCCATGGCCCATACACATACAACACGCCATGTAATCTATCCTCTGCTGCTCCATGGCGGGGGGCTGCCCGATGTCTTTCTGGCCTACACCACCACCTTGCACTCCCACTCCCACCGCCATCACCACCGCGGCGCTGGCCTTCCCCGCGCCCAGAGCACTGGACAAGGGAAAAAGGGAAAAAGCACAATCCACGCCACACCGTCAGCCGTCATCAGCCCTGGCCGTGCTGGCTGGCCGTGCGGAGACGGTAGTGTTCAACGGGCCACTCCGCCGTGCTTCTACGCTACATGACAGCTTCCTGTAGAACTCCTGTTAAGCTGCAGCATGGGCGTCTCCTGTCTCGTGCAGCCCGTGTCATAGGACATGACGCCTACTCGTGAGATTGTAGGGGCTTGCTGCATCGCAGTCAGACCGCCCGCCATGTCCTCTGCCTCGGACATTGTTCACCAACCCTGTGTCACCGTGTATTTCTGGTCTCGTCCCATCTGCATCTGACCGGTATATCACCGCCGGAGCAGACGCAGGGACAGCACCAACGGCGGCATTTCGTAATGACCAAGGTACCCGCGCCTCCGGTTCCAAGTATAGCCACCCGCCAGAGTCTTGATGTCAGAAGACGGGCATTCTCGCGTTTGTCGACTTGTTTCGACGCGGTAAATTGGGGCTCCAAAATATGCACCCAACTGGCTACGGGCGGACTCTGTTTCAGATGCCGACTCTCGGCTCATCACGTGACGGCCGTGCCCATCATGCCCAGGTGTCCACGGCTACGCAGGCGCAAGCGCAAGCGCAAGGGGCCTTTTGGCTACGGCAGGCGCGTTGCACCGATGGGGAAGCGACTATGTCATTCCCTCCAGCCGAGGCATCTCCGCATGAGGCGCATCGACTATGGCATTTCTCCGCCCACGACCATCTGTATTGTTCGCCGCTCGTGGACCTTCTCTTCGATCATTTTCTTCAGCCATGGCTCAGCGACGCATTGGTAGGCTGCTTAGCGACATCTTGTGCGACAATAGCTGATGGACCATAGCGAACCCCGCCCTCTTGTATGCAGACCACAGCCGTGACAATTCCCTTCTAATATCATTACAGCATCTGCGATCTTCAAGAGAAGTTTCGTCCAGCCATTTATGAGTTTCCCAAAGTCGTCTCCACGGCACAAAAGTTGCTGAAAGCGAGTATGCTCCACATTTTTTGTCCAACACCGTGTCCCAACTCCAATAAGACACCAACACCACCCTCTAGGCTTGCCACCCGCTGAGCGTCAGCCTGAAGCTCTCAGGCAGGCTCACCAAAACCTTTCATTATACTTTCCGCCCCGCGTGCTTACTGCTGACCAACCCTTTCAGGCAAATTACTGAACATTCCAGTCTTCGCGACTACCCAGAACAAAGGTAGGTTACGGCTGTACGAACCGTATGTGAGACATGTACTGACGTAGTCCTTCCGCCTCCGTAGCGCGATTGGGCGAGACATGTCCGGAGCTGAAGCTGGATCAGCCTGATGGCATCAATACAGTCTGTCATCTTGACAAGACATTGTTTTCGATGGTGTAAGCCACAGCACATGGGATCTGTGCGTCAATACTACTTGCTGACTCATGGTAGAACACCAGAAGTCAAGCAAGCACTAGACTCGCTCAACGCCTCTGGCCCACTCTCCTGCATCATTGTCGGCATCGAGAGCCACATCTGTGTCACTCAGACCACACTCGATCTCCTCCGGGCCGGACACCAAGTCTATGTCATTGCTGATGGCGTAAGCTCGTGTAACAAAGAAGAGGTGCCGATCGCTTTGGCAAGGCTACGCCATGAAGGTGCCGTGGTGACCACTAGTGAGAGCTTCATGTACGAATACGTTGGGGACGCTAGTACACCCGAGTAAGTGGAATTGCAGTGTCGAAGGGTCATCTATTATGGACTAGATGGCTAACAATAGATAGATTCAAAGACATCATCAAGGTAGTCAAAGAGACGTCGCAAAGCACAAAAGAGGCAATGCAGACGCTTTGTAAAATCTGAGATGATCATTACCGAATATCCCATCGTTACCATATCAGTACCACTTCCAGTAGCTATTTTACAGATCCATGTCTATGAATAAAGCAAGCCCGTCCCAACCACCTGATGCGTAGCACTCGCATATCTCTCCATGCAATTGGAATCTCTCCAGTTTCGCGGCTCGAAACATCCCACCTTCATTTCCCCGGCCCATCTTCCTACAGCTCTCGGCCATTGACTGGGAGCATTGGCAAGGCCACATTCTTGATCTCCCTCGTCTTAACAATTCCAGTCCCTGATGGCTTGCCGGCCTGTTTCGCGTTTCCCCTCCCTTCCAGACCTATGGCAAGTCTCCTCGGCGTCGTCCGTGGGGGCACAACTGGAGCAACCTACACTGACCCTCCATATGCCCCCATGCAAAGTAACGCTGGGTTCTGACACGCGTTTTGACTTGATACAAATACCCCAGAATATAGCCCACATTGGACCAGATTGATTACCTCGTATGTAGATTACACAGTTGCAGATAGACTTTACGAACTGGTCTTGGCACGGACGAGCGAGACTAAACACTGTCGACCTGTAGTGTTTGTGATAGCATTTCAAGTCGAAGAATGAGGTTATCGAGTTATTTAAGCCACTGGAAAAGAATGCTTTCGTAGTGATGTGCCATTCCCTATCCACGAGAATAATGTATCGGCGTTGTGGAGTTCTGGCGTCTGCCAAAATCCGTGCCAGCACACGCAACTTAGTCGCCTGGAGAGGGTGATGCATATGAGTTGAAGAATTTCGTTGCAATAGAGTGCGAATTTTTCTCTGTCGGCTTTGAAAGACGCTGCTTCTTATCCCGATTGAAACAGCTCGCTCTATGCATTCTTCACTCATATGTCTACGACTCGCTCTTGCGTTCAAGATGCACCGCATCATCCCCATAACCTTGAACCTTCCCCTCCAATACCTCATCGATTACTGGTGCCTTGAAACCATATCGACCCCAAAAGTCTCCTGTACCATAGACGGAAACAATACCAGTAGTTGCATATTCCTTAGCAACAATCTCCAAGCTCGCGTGAAGACATTGATGCGCGAGCCCATATCTACGGAATTCGGGCAGAATAGCAAAGTCATGGATGTAGTACTGATCCGCATCCGGCCTGATTTCGCCGAGAAGCTGATTGAGAGCTGGGGGCTCGCATTTGCGAATGGGATGCGAGACGATATATCCGCAAATTCCACCGGTTTCGTCAAAGAGACCTTGGCAGCCTTGCGGGAACAACCTGGCGCGTTCTGCGAAGACTTCGTCGCTTTCATGGAGGTCGGGATGGATCTTCTCAGCTACTTGGACGAGGCTGGTAATGTCACCGGCAGATAGCGAACGCCATACTGCTTTAACATCAATATCCACTTCCGTTTTACCTTGTTCGACTGTGACGCGCTGTTTGAATTTCCCAAGGTCCTATCGTGAGGTGCCCAGGTGTAGCCACGTACGAACCTTGGAACACCTCCTCAAAGGGTACCACCGCTAACCAAGATGCATACACAAGTCTTTTGAAATGAGTCTAGCAAAATGCTAAATTGAGATCCGCTGTTTAGATGCGCCCTTGAATAGCATTGAAAGGGGAAGCGCATTTGCTGCCGAAAATGACGTAGTTAATATCTAGACAGGTTAAAGTCCGTCGCTAGTGCTACGTTCAAAATCTGTTCCCTCACCCCGGGATCGTCGCATTTCCATTTTCGATACCAATCAACATCATATAGTTACTCCTCTTTCCCATGCATTGGTTAGTATTTGTGTGTAGGTCGCGATATTAAATCATCAATGTGAGAGTGAACTATGCGTGATGGAGAAAGTATGTCAGTGTGAGATTCGATGCGCGTATAGTCATCCAATACTTCCGGCTACACTAGTCACGACAGAAACACACGGCAAGGGCGTAGAACCGCTATATTGATCTTCTATCCAAGCCAGCTCAATCCAATATTCGACAAAACAGTCAGAAAAGGCATGCTTGCTAGCGCTATCTTAAGTCAGTTTCGAATTTCATTTTCAAATGCCATCTAATGGAAGAAGTTGGAAAAAGAGAATCAACCCAACGTGGGCATAACATACAGAGGCGGAGCCACGCCGGCAAAGGGAATAGCCGATTGAACGACGATGAAGCAAAGTGTAACCAGACGAAGAAGCGAACCAGGTATGGGATATCAGTAGAACAACGAATGTGAGAGTGAATAGTCGTAAGAAAGAAAAGGTAATAGCCCCGGGGCGAGCTGCGCATGGAGGCTTGCCACAGAGACGCTGAAATTTGATGATGGATCTTTCTTGGCGGAGCTTCTATGCTCATTGATCTTTGGAAGGACAGAGTTAGCAAACGAGATGCTGAAAAGCCGCTCGGCTATATCCCGAAACGTAGACGTCCTATCATTCGAGTTCAGCAGCCCATGCATCTCCGCTCTTCACTAGCGATCACCTCGACGAGGTCTGAGCTGCAGCAATCTCAGCAACCTCATCTTCCGGTCTCATTCTCAAGCCGCCTTTGACCTGAATGCCTTGCTGAACCCAGTCCAGCTTCTCAATGTCCTCCAGGCTCTTGCGACCACGTGAGGCCTTCTTCAGCAGACCCTCGACGCACTCGCGAGCGCCAGCCCACTCGTTGCCCTTTTCCGCATCCCACTCGCCGTCTTCGTCACCGAATTTGACCCAAGACCAATCGCATCTGGCGATACGGTGAGCGGCTCTACTACGAGACGCGGCCTTGCCCGGCGGTGGATCAAAGGGCAAACGTCCTTCCATGAGAGCATAGAGCAGGACGCCGAGCGCCCAGGCATCGGTTGAACGGCCGTCATATGGCTGACCGAGGAGAATCTCTGGAGCAGCATAATCTTCACTACCGCATCGTGTTGTCAAAAGAGGCGACTCGGGAGGAGCAGGGATGCGTCGTGAGAGGCCGAGATCCGTGAGTGTCGCTATGGCATGCGGATGGCACTGTGGGTTCTTGAGTAGAGGCACGGTAGACACAGGAATATTGAGAAGGACGTCTGGATGTCATTAGTACAGAGTAAAAGCGAAGAAACGTACCAGATGAAGTGTGGCATGGTAAAAAGAATGGAAGCAGTACTTTCTAGCTTGATGTCGCGATGCACAATAAGTTGGGTATGCAAATAACGCACAGCGCTGACCATTTCGGCGAAGACGCGATGGACGATGTCGAGAGTCAGCTTGTCGCGATGGTCACTGGCTACATCAAACAGATCACCACCGGGACAGTAGGTAAGGACAATAAGAGCTTGGGCGTCATCGTGATCGAAGGCTTGGAGATGGACAAGAGAGGGGTGCGATACTGATCGGAGCATTTCGACTTCTCGCTTGAGGCTTAGTTCTACGCGCTCTTCGTCGGCACCCCCGGCAGGGCCATGCTCGACGACCTTGATGGCGACCAGTTTCCGTGGATCCAAAACGTTCTCATCGAGAGGGTCCTTTGCTTTGGTCTTCTCACAGGTTGCGAGGTAGACTTTGCTGAAGGTGCCCTGCCCCAGTTGGCGGACAGGGCGCCAGAGCTTCTTCGTCTTTTGAGGCCCACACCGCACCACTATATATTGAGTCTTGTCATCTTCGGTCACGTCGTCTTCCTCGGTGTCGGTAACACTGCGGTTGCTTGCGTTGCTCGCGGGCGGGGTGGGAAGGCCGGCTGGCACATTGGCGGGGACGAGGCCTCGCTGCGTCGCCAGATATGTCTCGCGGTTCATGCGCTGCTGCATGGCGGGGTCCGTGTCGACGACCGAGACGTGCCGAGGGCGGGTGTTGTGCATTGAATCCGGGGTGTACTCGCTGATGCTCCTGTTGCGCTCGCGAGCAGCCTCGTTCCTCTGCTGCGAGTTTGCGGCGGCGGCCTCCATGGCAGCGGCCTTCAGGCCCGAGTAGCCCTTCTTCTTGAGCGAGGGCGAGGGCGACAGGGTGCCCTTGGCGAAGATGGCGAAGGCGTCGTCGCGCGAGGCGGCCGAGATGCCGCGCGAGCGAGGACGATGGTCGGCGCGCTGCCATGGGCCGGGCGAGTCGCCCATGACCAGGGGCGAGGGGAGCGGGGTGATGTCGCCCAGGGCAGCCAGCGCTGGCGACGAGATGGCGGACGAGGGCGACAGCGAGCCGAGACTGGCAGTCGACCAGGCGGTCCTCAGATAGCCGCTGTCCTGGATGGCAATCGGCGCCGTGGCCGACTGCCGCAGCGCGTCGCTCCCGCTGGGCTCCAGATTGGCGGGGTCGAGGGAGCGTGCCGAGTTGGGGTTCGAGGCGATGGCGAGGTCCGTGTCGAGCTTCAGCGCCGTCGACGGGGCGCGGACGTGATATCTGGGCAGCGAGAGATCCGTGGCTGCTGTGCCGGGCGCGAGGTCCGCCGTCGTCAGCGTCAGCGTCGATGTCTGGTGGGCAGTGTCTGGCGTCGCCTGCGTCTTCTGCGTCGTGTCGGCGCGGGCAGGCGCCCGTGGGAGTGCAGGGCTGGAGGACGCGAGACCCGGAGAGGATGGCTCTGGGTCCTCCATGGTGTTGTGTCACGGCGGCCAAGGTCCAGTAGTCTGTCTGCGGGCAATGCCACCCGTGGACCTCCATGCACGTGCGCCTCCGCTACCCTTAGCGCCTCTCGTCTCAGCGTCGGTCCCATCCCAGCACACTGGTCCACGGCACCGACTCCCTGACTCTTGAACAGTCCTCCCGCGAAGCCACTGCCGACTTCGACCTCGAGGCGTGCCGTCAGTCACCAGAGCGACATGGGGCCGTTTTGGGCTTCCGAGCCAGCCAGCCAATCGCAAGCGAGCCTCCGACAACGTGAACTCGCGCCCTCACACGGCATGTCATGCTGAGTCTGATCGCGAGTGTCTACCAATTGACTCCAAGCGGCATGATATCGAGCCTCTCGCCATCCCCATGTTGGGAACTCGGCATGGGCCTGGCGTTGCCTTACTTACCTTTCGCATATCCCGCGGCTGTTCGCTGACATATCCTTTCATTGCATCCTCTCTTATGGACGTCG